GGTGGGGGAATGCAAATGTATGTTTTGTGCTTTGCAACTCATCATGAATGACACAAGAAAGGAAATAGCTTGAGCGCATGGTGCCAGATATCATGTGGTATTGTAATGAGGTCATCATAAATCCCTGGTACTTGATAAGTACCCAGTAAGAAAACTGATTTTGGCAATTATTTCTACTGCTGTAGAGACACACATTTATTAAAATGTAAGTTATATGTGTGTTTTGAAATGGAGATTGAAAAGAAGTTCGTTAGATGGCCCACCAATGTTTTTTGGTGCTGTAGGAATCAAGGGTCGTGAAAATATGAGTTACGTGTTCATTGGCAGAGTGGTTTTGAGAAAGATTTTTAAATGGTTTGCCAAGACTCTGAACATTTACCCCCCTCCCCTGAAGAGAATGAGAACTGCTCCATGTCATAAAATATATTCCTGGCGGCAAAGTCGACCCAGATAATCTTTATCTTTAATCTTTCTTCTGAGTTTGTCCATTTTGGAATGTAGCTGAATTCCGGTTTTATCCCTTCCCATTATTTGGGTTGACTTTCTAGGAATGTTTGTGAGTGAAGGAACCGGCGTTTGTGTGAGTTCTATTGACTCCTGGTCATTTCCAGTCCCACAATTTATGATCTTATTAAGTATAACATACCAAGAGTCATAGAAAGGCAAGTAATAAACACTGTGACTTATTTCATAAGCAGGTATAGAAAGACTACATTCCTGAATTTATTATCACCAGAAAATAAAAAGAGAAGTCTTTTTTCTTTTCGTACGAAGGCTTAAGAAATGGATACCTCTGAAAGATATAGTTTGCCTGAAGTGACTATCCAATTTTGGGGATATTTGTTTCACATTTATTGCAGCCTTTTGCTGTGGAGCATAGGTTATGTGGTTTACCCATTAATATTTTTACAACCATATTGTAACATAGGCGGGGTTGGCTTCATGGCCCAGTGGAAACAGGAACTCAAATCTCCTTGACCTATTTTGACACTTCAAGTCACTAAACCCAGTTTGTTTGGGTTTAGTTTGGCCACCCATCTCACACAAGTGACTCTGCGTGGCATACATGGATTAAACACACAGACGCACAAAAGCCCCACCATTTCTAACATCCAACGCCCAAGGATAACCCATAACCCCACCCACAAAAGAAAACAAGTTTTTAAAAGTGTAATGAAATATCAAATGAATCTATTAATACCCCAGTTAAAGCACAATTTAAACATGTAGGTACAAAGGGAAGAATATGCCTTTAAAAAAAAAAAAATCTTTCTGAAAATCAACCTGGCCATTGTAATACCTCTTTGACAGAATGTCAATGAGCTGTTGAGATTTAATGAGGACCAAGAGCAGCAAACACAACTGCTAAATATTACAGACCCAGCAGTTAGCCTTAATTAGCACCTCTTGGGGATCATAATCAGTTTGCTGATGGTTTTTCTCTTCCTTCTCTTTCAAAATGAATACACCTGTCCTCCTAGATGCTCTCCTGCCTCTCAGCCAGGTGCCTGATTTAGCAGGAATTGGGTAGTAAATTCCTGAGTTACATAAAGAACTTGGAAAAGCAACTAATGCGGTACCAAAAACAGATATTCTAGACCAGTGCTTCTCAACCTTAGCAACTTTAAAATGTGTGGAGTTGAAGTCCACACATCTTAAAGTTGCCAAGGTTGAAAAACACTGGCTTAGAGGAACAAGTAATGGGAGAATAAATTATGTGTATATATGTGTGAGCCTAGATCGGCTACTGACCTTACCTTTTAAAAAAAATTATTAAAAAAAATTAAAGAACAAAATAATTGACTACATAAAAGTAAAAAGTAAAAAAGTACATAGTGGATGGCAAATAAAATACCAGTGAATGAACAGAGAATTCACAATTTTCCTAACATTTAAAACTCATAATTTAATTGATTAGATGATTAATTGGACATATGAAACTAGACTCATATCATCTTACTTTTCCATATGGGGCGGGGGGGGGGGAAGGAATTCTAGCCCTAAAATCAAGCACTGAAGAGGATTTTCTCTCTGAGTGTCAAGTTGCTAGGATTAAACTACATAGTTTTACTTGACCTTCTGAAACTGTACTTTTATTACATCAGCCTACCTAATGCATTTTAAATGTTTTTATAGAAATTGCTTCCTTTGGAGTTGCTTCTTCCCAGAAAGAATTCACAGAGATCTTTGCAACTTGGGCACCTATCTTTCTGTTTCACTGATTGCCTTAGCATTCGTGCCAAGGCTGGCATGCATTTCAACAAGAGCCACAGGGGAAAAGCAAAATTAGAGCTCAATGTGGACAGTCCATTAAATTGTCTTTGGTAAAAATCAGCGGCATTACATAGGGGAAATGCTTCTTTTAAATAATTTAAGATATTCAAGGTGGTTAAACAAACCTTGAACATTGAGGCTTAGCCTTGAAACGTGCAAAGAATTGCCAAATGAGAAGGATGCTCTGTGTACCTCTGGTGTGTCCCACAAAACTCATGGTAAAACTCTGCTTGGAGTGTGTCAATCTTTTTCCTTGATACACTATAGTTTTATTTATTCAACGCTATCTATAAACCATAATAAAATCCAACATGTAACCCAACACAGAAGCCCACAATCATCTGGGGCCAAAGGCTCATTGAAATAAAATACCTGTTATTTTACCTTTGGTAAAAGTAAAGGCCAGATCAAGAAACAGACATGACAGTGATCCCAGGAATGCTCTTTTATTGTAGTAAGACAGAAAAGCAGAACCTTGGAAGCCTGTCCAGGTTCCTCTCTGTCCCGTTTTGTGCAAAACAAAATCAAGGCGGGGTTCTTCTCTGTTTCTTTCTCATGCTTCCTTCCAACTGTGCCCCTTTAACAGTATCCTCCTTCCTTTAAACATCAGCTCTAAATTCCTTTACAATGGCTTTAACTAATTTCTGGAATATCAACAGCAACATCTGGACATGTAGGGTCTCTTCAGGGCAAAACGAAGTCCCCTCTTTGACGATAATTGAAAATGCCTCCATGTTTTACTTACAGCACTTAAGAAAAGTCTTCCTTGAATTAAGCGCATCTCCAGGGGATCTAATGGACATATCCAAGCTATTTTCTTGGCAACAGTATGGAAGTGGTTTGTCACTGTCACCTTAATCTGGCAATTCCCCCCCCCCCCCTTCAATGTCTAGTCTACAACCTTGGCATTTCTGAGTAGACTCCCACTGAAGTACTACCCATGTCTAACAAATTTATTATTATATGGAATAATTAGTTATATCAATTTCTGTTTTGTAGAACAACTACAAATTTCAGTTGGCCTGGCTGTAAAATACACAGCAGGGGAAGAATGACAGATTTGGTGGTATTTCTTAATTTTAGCTCCTGTTTAAGCCCCTTTGTAAAGATCTATCTGGATATATGAAAATGTGCATTTTCTTCTAGCAAATGTTCATTTCCTTCTGAGCAGCTCCATCTAGAGGGGGTTAGAAAACTGTAGCAGAGTGTTACGTCTCTGCTTAATCTGATGCCATCCAGGTCGGTTTGATGTCAGCTCCCATAATGCCCCAGCTTTATGGCCATTTTTGAACAGACAATCACTGATGCTTTGGCCTTTTCGTAGCCCTACGGGTTGTACTTCATACATTAGGACTTCATTGATTTTTGCATTATGCCATAATGCACTGATGACTTGCCCAGTGAATTCAAAAGGAACGTGTGTAATATGTTCACAAAGGGAGCTGGTTTGTTTATAGAAACCATTTACGTTTTACTGCACAACCATCTCCTAAGTTTATTTAAAAGCAGTGTCTGCTAACTCGGAGTGATGCACATTTTATTTGTTCGTTTGTTTCATTGATTTACATAGCCATGCATCTCACATATGCGACTCTAGGCGGCTTACAATCAAATAGATAAAACAGATAAAATACATAATATGGGTCTCTCTTAATGTGATCAACTGATTATGTGACATCAAGGCAGTGTCGACCCTCACAACACCACAGGTAGATTTTCTCCATGATGATCTGTCCCCAACCTGATCCTTCAGGTCTCCCGACGGTGCCCCCATCGCCACTGCAACCGTCCACCTTGCTCTCTTAATGTAGCTTTTGCATTTAACCATACTAGGACATTCCTGTATCTATTGTTTTAACTTCTGCAGGAAGATATAAATGAAATCATTGCACGGATGCTACTACCAGAACAAGAGGAGGGGAGCTTCCTATGGCAACTTAAATCCTATTTGGAGTGCTTGAAGGGTAGTTCCAATCAGTTCAGCAGAGCCAATCCCAAGAAACTCAATGCAAGACTTAAGATTTAATTCTGCCAGGATGGCAAATTGGCATTCAGATGGTACCCCTGTTCATGAGTCGCTGGGAGCTGGGCAGCTTATAAATTTAATTTATATTATTATTATTATTATGTTGTTGTTGTTGTTGTTCATATTCAGCAAAACAGAATCTTGTCGCTTCCAGTCACCCCCTCAGACTCCAACCCCCATAATTCCCATCCTGGCTGGGAACTCTGGAAGCTGGAATCCAGAGATGGCACCAGACGGGGAAGAAGCATTGGAGACGCTCTGGCGCTCCGTCTCTATGCTGAAGATCCCCTGGAGCCCGTCTAGGAATTTCCGTTCCAGTAAGTTCTTTTTTTTTTTTTTTTCATTCGCCCGCTCCCGGTC